TCTCTTTTTGGCAGAAAATGATTCTGATGAGAATATTTCAGCACAACGAAAATTGTAAAATTGTAAACCGTTTGGTTGTGCGTCTCCCACCACTGTGGGAAGCACTCCAGCCTGGGTGACACAGTGAGACTCTGTCTCAAAAAAATTAAAAAAAAAAAAAAAAAAGGAAATTTCCAATTGTAGACAGTATAATTGGTTGGCATGAACAAAAAAACAATAAAATAATTAAAAATTTTACTTGGAAAATTGCAAGTTGTTGGTTTGCATGAAAAAATTTCATATGGAAAATAATGAAATAATGATTCTGATGAGAATATTTCAGCAAAATGAAAATTGTAAAATTGTAAACAATTTGGTTGTGCATCTCCCAGTACTTTGGGAAGCCGAGGTGGGAGGTTTGCCTGAGTCCAGGAGTTTTGAGAACAGCCTGGGCAACATAGTAAGATCCCAGCTCTGCAAAAAAGAAAAGTAAATAAAAAATTTAGCCACCCATGGTGGTGTGCACCTGTGGTCCCAGCTACTTGGGAAGCTGAGGCAGGAGGATCACTTCAGACCAGGAGCTTAGGGCTGTGGTGAGCTATGACTGCGCCACTGCATTCTGGCCTGGGTGACAGAGTGAGAGCCTGTTTCAAAAAAAAAAAAAAAAAAAAAAAAAAATTGCCTCGTTCAATTTTTAGTCAATTGCAAATTTTTATGTGCAATTTTTTTGTTGTTTTTACTATTAATATTCGTTATAAATTAGATAAAAGGAAATAGTTTTATTTCTTAGCTAATTCCTGAGAAAATCGCCGTTTTGGGCTTTCTACGTTGTAAATGATGGCAGTACTCATTTGCTCATCCTCTTTCTCTGTCTGTGTCTCCATCACTTTGGCTACTGCATTCTTCAGTGCTCTCTTGGGGCAGCAGAGAGCAAATGGCAGGGCCAAAATGTTTTGCTTTGCTTCAAATTTATCAGTATTCTGTGGGGGAAGGTAGATGGGGCGTTTCTTAAAAGGCACCTTTTGCTTTCCCTCCCCTGATTTTTCCCCTATTTTCTCTCTCCCTTCTCTAGACTTTTCAGCCCTTTCATTTTATCTAACTCATCATTTTGTCATTTAATTTTTCTGCTGCTTCTCTACCCCACTTCTCTTTCCCCAGTCCTCTTTCTGCCTGCTTTGGCCTTTCCTTGTCTCTCCCACTCCTTGTCGGCCTCACTCATTGTCCCAGACTCTCCTCTGAGGCATGTGGCTGTACTTTCATTGCTTTTTTCTATTGTCTCACCCCTATTTCGTTCCAAGAGTTGCTTATCAGAGTCCTCAATGTTATGATTATAAAGGCTTAGAGAGAAACTCTTGCCCCTGCCGTTCAGCATCCCACTGGGATCAAGTAGCCGAGAGAGGCTGTGAACCTGTGCCCCCTGTATGGCTTTAAAAGCAGCACTGAGGGTGGCCAGCTCATGTGGGCTTGATTTTATGGATCTGTCTGAAGACAGAGGGATGGATGATACGATCGCAGGAGGGCCCTGCCAGATCGAGGAACCTGGGAGCCTCATCTCAATCATCATCAATTTAGATTTATTGGACATCTCCTGGGTGCTTGGAGTTGTACTAAATGATTTCATCCTTCAAGCCTTGAAATCTAGTTACTGCCTTTTTAGCACTGTTTAAAATATTGTAATATTGGGCTGAGTTTTTACAAGCCTTTGTTATTCTTTCTGTTATTTACTACAAACTATGTTTTAAAAAACTGAAATTGAGGATTTAGTAATGGTATTGGGATTGTCCTTAATGTCTTTAAACAGCTTGTAGATTTTTAAGATCCTATAGATTTCTACTGCATATGTGTTCTTCTCCAGCTGATGTGAGATCTGAGGGCATTCTGAAAAGTGGGAAAGATAATATTTATAGGGAGATGTCTTATGGGCACTGGGGCTGGACTGGGTGCGGTTGTGGGGAATATCTTGGGAGAGGCTTGGGAAAGGAAGGGACAGGGTTGGAAAGAGAAGGGAGACGGGGAGCACATGCACGAGCATTTGGAAATCATTTGTTTAGTTGACAGATGCTTACTGAGTGCCTACTCGGTGCAGGTCATTTTCAAGACCCTGAAGAAATCACAGTGAATGAGAAATATTCAAGCTACTTACCTTCATGAAGCTATAGTCTAATAGGAAGAGAGAGCCAGTAAAATAAATGAATAAAATTGGTGGCATGGACCAAAGTAACAAATAAATCAGAGAAAGGAGATGGGGGTGTTAGAGGGTTTAAATTTTAAAAGGATGCTGGGGGAAGGTGTCATTGATAAAGACCTGAAGGAGGTAGGGAATAAGCTAATGCAAAGATCTAGGTGAAAAGTAGCGTGTTCCAGACAGAAAGAGGAATCATGGGCTGAGTGGAGTACAGAGGACAGACGCTGGGAAACCAGTTAGAAGATGACAGTTAACCAGGTCAGAGATAACTGTGACATGGACTAGTTGGAAGCAGGAGATGGGGAGAAAGGATTGGGCTCTGGGCGTATTTTAAAGGCAGCAGCACTAGCAGGGCTTGCAGGTGGACTGAATGTGGGTTGCATGAGTTGTGAAAGAAAGGAGTGAAAGATGGCATCGAGGTTAGGCTTGAACACTTGGAGGATGCAGTTGCTCCTCCGTGAGATGAGGGTGACATGGGAATGATCTGGAGTTCAATCTGGGGCATGTTAAGTTTGAGTTCTGTGGAAGTAGAAAATAGTGGGGGAAGAGCCATTAATGAAATGAAGGTGGAAATAAAGGGTGTGAATCTCAGAGAAAACAACATGGATTTGGGCTAGGGATGAGATAGGGGAGAAAGAACAGGCTGATGGGAGATATTAGGAGTGAATTAACTACAGACAGAATACAATGCTTATCCAGATGGGACTTGAGTCTGGGTGCCAGTGAAGCCTGGGCAAGCTAGTAAAGAAGAACAAAAGCCATTGGCTAGTGAAAAGCAACATACAGGAGTAGCATGGGAAGACACGGTGAGCCCAAACTGGGGCATGTCGCATGGGCTTTGAGAAGGTTAGAAGAAACAGGAAGCAGTCCAGGAAGAAAAGAAGGGAGATGAAAACACCCTGAGATAGGAAGTTGACTGGGATGTAGATGGGTGATGTAGGAAAAGGTTGAGAGTTTTGGCCACTAAGGAAAATGTCAGTTGGGCACAACAGCTCACACCTGTAATCCTAGCACTTTAGGAGGCCAACGCTGGAGGATTGCTCGAGCCCGTAAGTTGAAGACCAGCCTGGGCAACACAGTGAGATCCTGTCTCTACAAAAAAATAAACAAAATTAACCATGCATGGTGGTGTGTCCCAGGTACTTGGGAGGCTGAGGCTGGAGGATCACTTGAGCCTGTGAGGTCAAGGCTGAAGTGGGCCAAGACTGTGCACTGTACTCCAGCCTTGCTGACAGAGTAAGAGTCTGTCTCAAAAGAAAGGAAGAAGATAGAAAAAGAAAATGTCAGTGTGGCTCTTGAGGAAAAAGACCAGGTGTAGACTACATTGAGGGGGAAGGGACCATGGCACGGGGTGGGGCAGGTGCACTGAGGGAGAATACCGGGAAGCTCTAAGTGCCAGGAGATGTTCCATCTGTGAACACACACACACCCTTTCGCTAATAAAGCATTTCCCTGTGCCCTGAATTTAGTTTACCTGGAGTTGTATTCTTAACCTCTGAGTGTGCTTATCTTAGGCAGATCTGATATGTGGCTGGTACCAAGAGATGAATTCCTACATATAGGTTTGCAGTCCTCCTGTCTTTGGACAGGGAACACTTCTGGAAAGGAGCTGACTATTCAGCTTACAGATTTTCCATTTCCTCTTGTTCTCTTGCCTATTGGTTAATTGTCTTTGACTTGTTTCACTGCGTTTTGGTCCTCTGGGCAGAAAACGGAGTTTGTGAAACTCACTGAAAACATGTGTAATGCTTTATTTGCAGTTCTGATATAAACGTCATTGGATACAAAGATTAAAACCAATGGTTGAATTAAGTTTTAGAATCGTGTGGATTAAAATGTTTATATGCTTGCGATTACAAATAATCAGTATTCTACTGAATCAAAATTTTTCACCCTTTCCTTCTCTTCGTTTATCCCTGTTGGACTTTTCCCTCTTCCTCCTCTTTCTCCCATATTCCTTCCAGTCCTCCCAGCTGACATCAATCTCAGGGGCCTCAGGATTCTGAACTTGAGCAGAAAACATCTATTTGTACTGCTTAGGCATCCTTGGCTGGAAGAAAGGGGAAGATGGGAAAGAGATTATGTCATTTTTAAGGTCAAGGGTAAGGATTGAAAGGGGATCAGGAGGCCTAAGTAACTGAGAGAAAAAATCTGGCCACACTCAAGGTGCTGCATGGCTGGGGGCCATGGAAATGAGGTTTGGGGACTGTAGGGAAGAGGGAGAGGAGGAGACAGAACAGAGGCCACAAGACGGCTCTCGTTAGCTGGGCCAGATAGGAGACTCTTAGGAGAAGAGCAAAGGCTGAGCCCTCATCTCCCCATCTGTCCTGCCAAGGTCAATTCTCCTGTGTTGCTTCATTCCTCCCCGCAGTGGCTCCAGAAGGACCCCAAGCCAGGTCCCATACTGCTTCATTCTGGGACCTGAGGCTGTGAGGCCTGGCTCTGGCGGGCTGGTATATGACTGCGATGCTGGGCCTTTGGTCTCTAGGTTCCGAGAAAGTTGGGGAGGTGGTGGGTGAGAATGAGATGGGGGTGGTGGGGACGCTGAAGGGTCATTGTACACACACTTATTGCCTCCCTTTTCTGTAGTGAAATCTGTGCTGGTTAATACCTTTCTTCCCATTTCTTTGTCTTCCCTAAACCTCTTTTCATTCCTTATCCTGGATGCACCATCCTTCTGTCTTTGCTCCCTCCCCATCTCCTCCTCTGCATGGCTCTCTTTTTTCCTGCTCTTGTCTCCCAACCTCCCATTTCTGGCCATGGTTCCATGTGCCTCCTCCAAACTCTCTTTTCCTTGCCTTTCCCTCCCCATCCATTGGCTTCTCGCTCCTCACAGCAGAGGGGAAGGTGTACAGCTCAGATGAGGAGAAGCTGGAGGCACCAGCAGGAGACCCAGCAGGCAGCGAACAGGAGGAAGAGGGCTCAGGCGGTGACAGCGAAGACGACGGCTTCCTGGACAGTTCTGCAGGAGGCCCAGGGGCTCTTCTGGGACCTAAACCGAAGCTAAAGGGAAGCTTGGGCACTGGAGCTGAGGAGGGGGCACCGGTGGCCGCAGGGGTCACAGCTCCTGGGGGGAAAAGCCGACGGCGTCGCACAGCATTTACCAGTGAGCAGCTTTTGGAATTGGAGAAGGAATTTCATTGCAAGAAATACCTGAGCTTGACAGAGCGCTCCCAGATTGCCCATGCCCTCAAGCTCAGTGAGGTGCAGGTCAAGATCTGGTTTCAGAATCGTCGGGCCAAGTGGAAGCGCATCAAAGCCGGCAATGTGAGCAGCCGTTCTGGGGAGCCTGTAAGAAACCCCAAGATTGTTGTGCCCATACCTGTGCATGTCAACAGGTTTGCTGTGCGGAGCCAGCACCAACAAATGGAGCAGGGGGCCCGGCCCTGAATGGGTGCCCAAGGACTTAGGGAGGCGAGGGTCTGTACCTGAGCCTGTTCTGAGACTGTCAGGGTTCTGTGGACCAGAGGGGCTGCAACTGTGATTCTGCCTGGAGAGGGGCTAGTTGGCAATTAACGTAGTCCTGGATGTGCTCCTCCCAGAACCTGAGATGTGTGAGCACTTGGCCCTGAGCCTGTTCCACAGACTTTCAGGACTAGGGGCTTCAGGGTTAAAGGGGCTGGGGTTCTAATTGCTGAGGAGCTGTTGGGACTGAGGTGGACTCCTGGGGAGGGGGTGGGTTCTAAGATGCCTAGGGCCTGAAGGTTCTGTGACAAATGCTCTGGAACAGCTTCTGATGGGTGGAAGAATCAGGCAATACCTAGCCAAGTGGATCACAGCTCCTTATTTATTTGTGTAAATGTGTATATATGGAGCTATCTGTCTCTGTCTGTCTGTCTGCACCCCTGAGAGGGATTGGGAAAGTTGTTTCCTCAATCCTCAGCCAGAGTTCGTCCGTCCTGCTGCTTTGGGATGGGCCGCATCTTGCCTCTCCTTACAAAGAAACGAAATGGAACCGTCACTGGCCTCTGTAGAAATTCTTCAGCACGCCCCCATCTCCCCTGCCCTATGTAAACTACCTCTACCTCTGCGCTTTTCCACTGGGGACTGCCCACTGCTCTTGCCTCTACACCTCGTGCTCCTAACGTACTATCTCTTCTGCTTCCCCTTAAACAGGCAGGCTTCTCCAGCTCTTTCTCCTCCTTGAATGAGTTGGCAGACTTTGGGAGAGATTCACTTCCTGTTGTATCATGAAGGGACATGAAGTACTTTACCTTAATTTAGCTGGGGTATGTCCAAGCTATCTAACTAGGTGGAGGTCACTAATGACTGGGGCATTCATATCACCTGTGAGCTCATGAATAAATTGTTTTCTATGCAGAAGACATGGCAGCTTAGTCTGTCTCTGCCACCCGTTGATACTCCAGATGCAAAGGCCTAGGGGGAGAGACCCACTTCTAGTTTTCTGTTCTTATGGCATTGTCACCTCTTCTCCCTGTTGTACCAGTTTTGAAGCCTGGGATACCCCTACCTCTTCCGCTACAGAATAAGATCAGTTGAGGGGGGCCACTGCAAGTGGATGGGACAGGCACAAATCTGTGTGATAGACATAGCAGAGGCTTGGGGATGGAGCAGCATTTGTGGACAAAGTGAGCCATCTGTAGAGCCATCTGCAGACAGGGGAAAGGGCACAGAAACTAGTGGAAGTGGTATTATGGGAACTGGGCTTCCTGGGAAGAAATATGACGTGCATTGATTTGGGAGGGGAGGTAGAGTAGAGAGCCATTGAAAAGAAAAAATACCCTGTTGAATGAGGCAAGCAAATGAAGGTATTAATGTCAGGGAGGAGAGGGAAGCGCAGCACAAATACCTGGCCAGCCTCCTTACCTTCCTTAGAGGGAAAGCTGCTGGCTATTCCCATAAATTCTTCTGGCTGTGGAAGACTTGTCAGCATCTCCTCACCCTGACGCGTGCTGGACACTTCCTATGGAGAGACCAAGACAGCCCTCCTTGGCAGCGCATTTCTCCCTGTTGGTTTAGGCAACCAAACAAAGCGACCTGGAGCCGAGACTGGTCATTCACAGTGATACCACAGTTCTTCAGCGAGAACACACAGATCTAGGGTGGATCTTCTCTACTTTTGGGGTAAATTTCAGCAGAGCTTGAGTTAAGCTAAAAATATGTAGTCCAGATCAGCCCCATTCCCAGCCTGGTCTAGATCAAGGCTAAGTCTGTCTGATATCTTAGACTCAGCCTTCACAGGGAACCTATGGGGTTAGGTCTTTTTAGGAGATAAGAAGCAGAGGCTGAGGATCACAGGAGCTGCTGTCATTCTGGCAGGGTTGGGGCAGAGTTTCCGTGGCCCTGTGTCCCCTGTGAGTGGCAGGTGAGGAAGCACCTGGGCAGGAAGACCACAGTGGAGCAGCAGCTCAAACCAAGGCCCCGACCTACAGGGTTTTTCTGCCTCTACCTATGTAGCCTCCTAACCCTCCATTCAAAGCCATATTCAGCCAGCCCAAGCCAGCTTGTTTTCATAGGGAATCTGGAGGTGATTATTGCTAGTATTCGGAGCCCAGGAACCGTACTCCTCCACGTACCTGTGGCCTTGTCTCTGTTTTGCCCTAACTACATGTAAGGCTTGTATCAGCCTTGCAAAGGGGCTGCAGGCTGAGAAAGCCTGGCTTCCTCTCTCAAGAGTGTTACTTACCTATTTACCTGCACAGCCCACCACACCCAACATATGCTCATGGTGTTTTAGAAAGGGCCTATGTCAGGCCTGTGGGAATTTTTTTTTTTTTTTTTTAAAGAAGACAAGGGCCACCAGCAAAGTGGGTCCAGGAATGAGGCAGTAAGACTCCTCAGAGAGTCGGGACTCTAAATTAGCAAGTTCTCATCCTTTCAGAACCAGCAGGAGATGCGTTTCCCCCATGTCTTCCTTCTGGAATAACTAAGGGATTCAGAGAGAAAGAAAAGCAGGAGCTCTGGATTCTGCCCTCAGCTGGGCTTGGCAAGATGGTGGCAGCTAGAGCGGCTGTTCTGGTGTCAGCCACCTACCTCCTCCCCTTTCCTCACAAGCAAAGCACAAGCACAATTCAGTCTATGCTATAACACAGCTGTCTGGAACAAAGCGCTTCATTTATCCTGTGGCCTCCCTCTCCCCAGTTTTTCTCCCAGGTACCGACTCGAGTCTCTCTCTCCCTGTGCATCCTGCTCTATGGCAATTCCCAGCCTTGTAGGAAACAGGCAATGCCTATGCCCTCTCTCTGGGTGCATTTTGGCCAGTACAGGGCATGGAAATGAGCTTACTCCATAGAATACTGATGACAAATGAAGAGAACGGCTGGAAAAGCTGCCTGATGGCCAGGCATGGTGGCTCACGCCTGTATTCCCAGCACTTTGGGAGGCCAAGGCAGGTGGATCATCTGAGGTCGGGAGTTTGAGACCAGCCTGGCTAACATGGCAAAACCTCATCTCTACTAAAAATACAAAAATTAGCTGTGCGTGGTGGTGGCCACCTGTAATCACAGCTACTTGGGAGGCTGAGGAAGGAGAATCGCTTCAACTCAGGAGGTGGAGGCTGCAGTGAGCCACTGCACTCCAGCCTGGTGACAGAGCGAGACTCTGTCTTAAAAAAAAGCTGCCTGAAGGTGGGGGAGGCAGCAAAAGAGCTCTGTGTCCTTTCATCAGGGCACTGTGCCGTGCTGCTGAAAACTCAACACCCTGCCAAGGGAAGGCCGAAAAAAGCAAGCAACGCACGTAGGAGACTGAGGAAGGACCACCCGGGACCCAGGCAAATGGAGGGAAGAAAATCTTAGAACACGGCAAACAACGAGAAGGGACGAGGGAGCAGAGCTGAGGGGTGCGCTACGGGGGGCAGTGATATAAAAGGGGGAACAAGGCCACACACACAGTCTGGTTTATTGGCTCATCACACACACACCAAGTATGTACACAAACATAAATACTCCAATGTACAAAGTTTACATGGGACTCACAGATCACCCCTCGTCTCTTTCATCCAGCACCCCCACCCTGTGCCGCCGTCCTTCCGTTTCAGGATGAAGGCGTGTGAGGGGCTGGCACTAGGAGGCAGGGATCTGGAGGAGGGAGAGGTCCTGCTCCCCTCTCCTCACAGGCACCTCCGAAGGGTCCTGTCCCTTTTCAATGGCACCTCAGGGCAGAGGGCTAAATCCCTCATTCCCTCTCTGCCGCAGCTCAAATCCCCAAACTCTCCTTGGTCCCTTTGACTCTCCTCCCTCATTTCCTCTGCTTCGTCCTTTCTGCATGTCCCTGCTTCTCCATTTCTGTGTCTGTCCCCGCAGTGCCTGGAGAGAGGAGGGTCTTCAGGCCATGGAATCCTTCTGGCCCCTCTGCCCTCTTCCTGGGCCTTACAGGAGGCTAGGACTGCGGTGCAGCTCAGCAGAAGGGTTGGTACCATTGGCAGGCTCTCTGCTGGGGGTAGGCGCTAAGCCACAGCCCTCCCCAGGGCAGCCATGCTGTATCAAGATGTCTGCACACTCCTGGCTGCCGGCCCGGCGAGCATAGGCCAGTGGAGTCAGGCCCCGGGCGTCCCGGCTCCTCACGTCTACCCCGTACTGTAGGAGAAAACACATGTCTACAGTTGGTATGACATGGGAGGAGAGAGATTGGTTGCAGGGGAGGAAAGAAGAGTGGCTTTCAAAGGACGGGGCTAAGAAGAGCAAAGTCAGGGCAGGCCTGAGGCATGCGACTCACCCAGATGAGCAGCTGCGTGAAGACAACGTTGGCCATGGCACTGGAGAGATGTAGGGCCGTCCGCCCGTCCCCGTCCCCATAGGTCTCGTTCACCTCCTCCTTGGAGCCATGTGCCAGGAGCATCACCAACAGACGCAGGTCATCTTCCACCACAGCCCGGAGCAGCTGCTGCCCCAGCGGCACGTCTGAGCTTGGTAGTGGGGCCAGGAAGAGCTTCTGCTCATACTTGGCCCGTATCCAGCGCTCCTTCTCCTCTCTGCAACCACAGGCCCATCAGGGCATGAGCCAAGGAAGGACACCGAGCAATGGATGGGGCCAGAAAGGAAGCAACACCAGGGGGACAAGGGAGAAACAGCGAAAGTGAGAGCAGAAAGGGAGGAGAGAAGCCTTAGAAACTCCAGGCACACAGAGGGCCAGTGGGTCATGGAAAGGGGGTAGGAGAAGCTGAAAAGCAGGGAGACTGAAGGGAGGCCCCCTGGGTACAGTGGGGATGTGGGGGCTGCGAGGGCAGGAAGATTCCAGGCAGGCCCGTGTTGCAGCTTATCTGGCCGTCTGAACTCTCTTGGATTGGCAGTGCTGGAACAAAGCGGGTGGGGGCCTGCACTGGGGGGCCGTGCATTCTCCTATCTCCCACCCATTCTCCCCATCTCAGAGCTCCAGAGTGGGCACTCTGCACCACACCGTGATAGGGGCCCTGCGCATGCGCCTCCTGCTGGCCCCTGACCTGCTGATAACGCTCAGCTCAGAAAGGGCCCGTTGTTGTGAGGCGCCTGAGTGACAGGCACCAGAGCAGGAGGGGCAACCCCAAGGGGCCAACTGCCAAGCAGAGCAACGGACAGTTTTAACCCTTCTAACACCATCACAACCACTCCGATCTTCCCCGTGCTTGGAGCCCCCAACGGCTCCCCAACTCCTGGCCAGCTCCAGGGTGCCATCCGCTCACCTGCAGGCATCAGGCCCTGGCTTGGAGTAGCCATCCAGGGCCCCCTCCCAGACGCTGTTGGCGAGGGCATTGCCCATGGCAGTCATGACAGCCAACAGCTCGGGCGGCCAGTCATCAAGGTCAAGGGAGCGCACCCGGGACAGGTGAGCCCCCAGGTGTCGGTGGATGCCTGAGCACTCGATGCACATCAGGGCACCCAGGTTCAGGCTGGCCCAGTCTGGATCTAGGCAAGGAGAGAATGATACAGCGACAGCAGGCAGGCCACCAGAGTGTGGGACAGTTAGGAACATCTTCCCTGCCCTCTTCCCTGTTCCTTTGATGTTTGCAAAGCTTTCCCCAGGCCGTCCCCAACTCCCAGCCCCACCAGCCTTGCACTTACTGGGGGCATCGCAGTCAATACAAAAGCTGTTGCCGCGAACAGTGCGGACAGCCTGTACAGCCAGAGCTGCGTTCGGGTTCCCCAGTCGAGTCTGTCACACAGCAGGAGAGATAAGGGGTGGCTGGTCAGTCATGAGGTTCCTTTCAGTCCCATCCCAGCCAGGTGCTCTGTGTGGGCCCAGT